ATCCGGATGCTCAGTCAAATAACGTTGAATAAGATCCCTAGCCTCATCTGCGTTAAAGCGGAAGAAAATATGAATTTTATCAATATATCGACAATATAATCGAATCGGATGTCGAGTCTCTGTAGTAACATCGCGAAATTGTAAGAAGTCATTCGGCATCTGAGGGGGACCAGCTATTTCTGAAGCTCGTTGAAGTCCAATAACTAACAAATCTAGAATTAGTCCGTAGTATTGAAAGATAAAACTCGCGAATTGTAATCCACGAATAAGACCATATGCATTTACGTGATTCATATCTTTATAATTAAGCACTACGTTATTCTTTGCCGTCATATAATCGGCAAGATTATGATCCAAAATCAATCGTAAGAGCCTATTCAATAAAGTCAAATCAATCTTTTCATACACTTTACTAAATTGTGTTTCCAACATGACGTTAATTTCTCCTTCGGATGTTTCCCAAACATCAGTCAAATTATTAATGCCTTGGCAAAATTTGTAAACAAGTAATGGTGGAGGTTCTGTATCTGACGGTTTAACCCATGCAGGGAATAGATTCCTCTTTGTACCTTCATACCAAAGATATTGATCAAGGTAAGCATCGGTAATTTTTTCGAGTGGCTCTACGTCAAAGACTGGAATCAAGTGACTATAAAGGTCCATAAATTCAATTCCGACTTCTTTGAAGGCTCGTTGTGTCAACAATAAACGCTTAATACGACTTAGAGCCTCATGTGGATTATCATATGCTTGTTCAATTAATCCTAACTCTTCTCTTTGACTTTGATTAAGACGTCCTTTAACACTATATGCTTCTTTCAACCTTTCAAGAGCCAAAATCAACAATTTTGTATCATGTTTATATGAGAGAGGTGGGAAAGGAATGGGAGAGAATTTACGACTTTCCAACCAATGAACTGTAGACGTATATATAGCTACTGCTTCTTCTGCAGTAATATAAGGACCATCTTTAAGATAATTATGTTGACGTTCTTGTTCAGCCTTTAACCATAAACGTGTCAAACGACCAAGATTTTTCTTACAAACAGTTTTATCAACAGTTGCACCTCTTCTAATTCTTTCACGATTATAATGAGCTACACTAGTCCACCAATCTGCTTTACTTTTAACATATCTTAAAATCATATTTTCAATAGGTTTTGGCATTCCCATTATATGCCATGGGACGTTTGCTTTCCAACATCTCCAAGCTTCACTTAAATGTTGTAATATAGTTTTTGATTTATTTGCCTTAATCCCTTCGGGCATCATATCCAGGATGTCATGCATGACTGCGGCACGAAGTTCAAGATCATAATGTGATTCTACACGTTGTTTAGTTACGGTCTTTGCAATTCCCTTGGAATGACGACCTTCAAAGTGACGGGCTAATAAATTTCCGAG